TATTATTTTTATTATTATTATTATTATTATTATTATTATTGTTTTTAATATTATCTTTGCAATTGGTATTGTATGAATTGTTATTAAATTTTCAAGAAGGATAACGAGCACTGACAGATACACACAAAATCATTATCAATTTCGTATTTACAAGTATAAGCGTGAGTAATCTTTGATTATAAAATATAAGCAGCATCGTAAATACATAAGTTTCATTAGTAAGTACAAGATAAAAAGTAGCACAAGAATTAAATCGCAAGCGTCGGAAATTATTTCCGTAATAAGAATAATTTAACAGATGCTTTATATTTCAAATTTATAATTTAAAGAGCTATACGACTATCCCTTAAGAGATCCCCCTCCCCCACCGACCGCCACTCACACACACACACACACACACACACACACACACGCCCCCCCGCCAATATTGTCATAATTAACAAAACGAACGATAAATTTAATGGATTAAACGTAAATTAAAAAAAAAAAAGAAAAAAAAGAAGATGAATAATTACATTTGCAACGTATTCACAGTAATAAAACCACAAATTCCCAACAATTTTTAATTCAATCGAGCAAATCTTAAACTGCAAGTTGGAAGTAATGCGTCATGACGTCAGCGCATAGTCACATTAACATTGATTTAAAAAAAAAAAAAATAATAATAAAAAAAAAATAGCCTCTCCAAGCTGTAAATGCTTGAGCAATACTTTGAATGTGCGAGAAAGTGTTGTGTCAATGACTTACCTTGCTCCCTTTATTATTTTTTTTATGAATGAAAGTGATAATTGCAATAATTGTAAGAATTTACAATCTGCAATTATCGAGATACGTCAATTCGTTTTAAATAACAATAATTAAATATCGACGATAGAAAACGATGGAAAACGTTGTACATGTTTTAATGTCGAGATGCAGAGAGCATGTAGAAAGAAATGTCGGTAAAATCGGTTAAAATCGGTTAAAATCGGTAAAATCCTAATGAACGACAAGATCATTGGTAAACGTCAATCAGCCATCTAGGCCAATCGCATTTATTGAAAAATGCAATAGTTTACTCTTAGGCCTGTGAAAATATTGAAAATGGCAAAACTCCTCAGTGAGTTAAAGAAAGAAAAGGGAAAAAAAACATAAACGCACCATATGACGATGACGTAACGATTGATACGAACGTCGCGTCGATTAGGATAAAGAAAAAAAATAATAATAATAATAATAATAATGCAAAGGTGTAGTAAGGAGTGTAAGCCGTGGCAATGTTAAAGCAATAATGGATGAGGTGCCGTATGGACTGGGTCATTGGGCATGAAAGCCCGGTGCGTGTATGTACGCGGTCACCTCCGAATTAAGGTCGGCATCCTTGCCCTTGGCTTAGGAGCGGCGCGCGTGAAAGTCCGGTGCGCGAGTTTTTGAGGTTATGGTTACGTCCGAACCGGCGCCCACGCGCGCCAACGAGCCGTCGTCGCTCACGGCAACGAGCACGATAATAACATACAGACTAGGAGATCAATCCCAGGGAGGGCTTACCATACTGTCCGCCTTACAGATGCCTCGTAACGTTGCCCAAGGTGTAATGTAACGTACGGTGTTAGCGTAGCGCCGTTGTCAGCGGCGGCGGCGGCGGCGGCGGCCGCAAGGCAGCGAGGCTGTGGTTGGGTCGCGATGGGGATACGTTGGGTTGGTGTAGTGTGGTGTGACGTGGTGTGTCGTGGCGTGGTGTGGTGTGGTGTGGCGTGGTGTGGTGTGGTTGTGGTTATGGTTATGGTTATGGTTTGTGGTATGGGACGGGAGGAGTGTGTTGGGATGGGACGGGGATGGAGGGTGGTGGGGTGAACGACGATGACGGCGGCGATGGAGGAGGACGGTGGGTGAGGGGCTCCACGCACTTGCCGGCTGAGCGCCGCCTCAGAGAGTCATAAAAGCGCACTGGATTTTTGCGATGACAGAACGACTGGGGCGATGCCGTTAGCCCACAACGGTTTCACCGTATCGACATTGTCCTCGTCCTCGCGTGGCTCGCGAGCTCGCGAATTCGCGGACGCTCGTACACTGTGAAAAAGACGATTGTGTCGATTGGTCGATTGCTCGGGGCCCGGTGCGATTCGCTCCGAGGGCATTGGAAATGAGACGACAGGTGCGGCTGTCGTCGATGAGCCGAGTCGAGCTTACGGCGAATTAATTTCTATCGTGAATCACGAATTAATCACGAGCCGCGAATTGCCAACTTTGAAAAACACATGCGTAAACACGCGTCAACGACAGCAAATTGCACACAACGTGACAAAAGTGAGCGGATCTTGTTCATTTAGCAGCGATATCGGCTGAATAAAACACGGCCCGATATCACCAATATAATTTCAATGACTCGTTAATAAAGGTAATTATTTACAAGATTAGGTGAGCAAGCATTAAGTGAAGGCCCTCGTTTGTCGATTATCGTAGCCGAGTCTTAACGTACAATTACTTATGTGAGGTGCGTGAAGTACCGGCACTGCAAGTGAAAAAAAGGCCTTATTAAACTGCAATTAATTTTCTGATAAATAACGAGGGTAATTGACACCAAAGATGCATCGACGTAGTAGTTCCTTTCGCACCCGATAAACCATATATTCCCTCCGTAAAGCCACTGACACGCGCATAATAGGTGAAGGTGAGCGCGAGCACGAGAATCGGCTATACGTAAGAGACTCTGGTCATTTGTTTTATCGTGAAAGGCTTTGGAGTTAATGGCGCGGTAAATCAAAGTCCTCGCAGGAATTTTCACGATGCGCCAACGAGGAGCGCGACGACGAAACAAGGCGTGGAAAAGGCTTTCCCACGGGAGGATGCTGCACGGCACGACTCGACTCGACTCGACTCGACTCGACTCGACTCGACTCGCCCATATATACATACATGCATGCACACGACACTGAGGCACCGAGCAGATGTACGTCGACGAATCGGTGGTTACGTTCCCGTCGCTCGCACGTACGTAATGTACGCAAACAGCGGCGGGTACAATTGAACGCACAAAGGAACCGAGAGTCCGAGGGACACTGACGTCTGACACGCGCGCGCCTCTCCGTTGAGCTGTGCGGCGATGGTGGCGGCGGTGGAGGTGGTGGCGGCTGTGGCGGTGTCGACGTAGGGAGGGAAAAGGAACGCGAGTGCGAGAGGGGCCGTGAAAGAGAGAGAGAGAGAGAGAGAGTGAGTGAGTGAGTGAGTGAGTGAGTGAGTGAGTGAGTCAGTGAGCGTGTGAGTGAGTGAGCGAGCGAGTGAGTGAGCGAGTGAGTGAGTGAGTGAGTTAGGTAGTTTGTCGAGGACAGCTGTGGCGGCAGTGTACGTCTGCCCGTATACACACTGTTTTGCTCGGCGCACAATAGCTTATTTCTTTGGGATCCTCGGTTTATTTGTATTGTGGGGTGAAAATTCTTTTATCCTATCTTCGATCGCTTCTTTTTCTCTATTATTATAGCTTGTCGATAGGGGCTTTGGAAAGATTTTTAGAATTAAGATTTTAATTATCGAGGTTAAGGCAGTTACATTATAAAACTATTTATAATATCAATGAATGATTTTTGCAAACATATTCATGGAAGATAAAGTTTTATCGTTATAATAATTATAAGTATCTTTCAGACCGATATAAATTCTTACATCGCAAGTGCTTTTTATATTATAAATTATCATTGTTGTATAACAATTGACGCGCGTGCTTTAACTTTTATCGACAATTATTTTTAATAATTTATTTCAATTCGGAACAAACGATTCGTTAAAAAAAAAAAAAAAAAAAAGTACATGCATAATATGAGTGTCACGGTGGTGCGTGATGATGAAAATTTTTTAAAACGACGATTCGATATTATGATATTTTTATTGTAGTTCGATTATAACTAGACATTATAAGCATTAATAAATAAGGTGAACTAGTTTATTAGAAAGTAATATTAAATTAAATAAAACGACGATTGCGACGACGACGACGACACGGATATTCAAAAAACATAATTTTAAATTGCAAAGTCGACGTCAAATTTACAAATAAATTAATAACTATATTATATGTGATCGAGTCGATTAATAAATAAATCGATAGTAAAATTGGACGATGATTATAAAAGAAAAGCAAATGAAAATTTGGACATAAAATAAGATTATTTGTTATGGCATCATTGCCTGCTGTAATTTATAGCGTTCAACGTGAAATTAAGAATGTAAAATGAAAGTAATTAAATATTAAGAATTAATTGTTTGTAATATGATTGCTAAAGTGTACGTTAATAATATTCCAATTAGTATTAAACTATCAATTTTTTTTTTTTTTCATTCTCGTTGCTGTCATTCCTGCAATAAATTTTTCACCAAATTAAGGTACATAATTTTCTCAAATAATGCTGAGTTAAAATTTTTAATTCATACCTATTACATTGTTAAAAAGTATCAATTATTGAGTGAAAACTCGTAAATATTTATCATTAAATTTTATAATTTTTTATAAATAAAGATTTTACAAATATATTTAAATTTATAGTGAAAAATAAAATCTCAATATGTTACATACATTGTAGGTAACATTAGTAATGAAACATTTTTCATTTCTCCTCCAATGGCATCTATTCTGATGGGATATAATAATAAATAATCGATAGCATCGACTGTTGTTGAATAAAACATTTAATATAATTTAAAAGGATTTATAGAACGGATAAGACATTGTTACTATCTATATTATAAGTATTATGTAATAAGACTAAGCTGTCGCTGTTTTTATTCTCTTCTCTTCTCTTCATTATTTTTTTTTTTTTTTTTTTTTTTTTTTTTAATAAATTTTTAATAAATTTCTCTATTTACTTAGAATTTTATATAACACGCGCGATGAAATCATGTACGTATCGAGTAATGATTTTAATGTAATATTATGTTGCCAACTACGGGTTCGTCAATTTCTTTCAAAACATTAACTTTTTAACGTACAATCAGAAAATATTTATTACGTTTCGCGCGTGTAAGCGATTGGTAAACTCTGACTCGACTCGGAATTTCTCCATTCGACATATTTTACAATATTATATCATAAAAAAGTCCCTGATATTTATGGGGGTGGGGTGGAGGGGGGTCTAGACCCCCCATTGAAAGGGGATTAAATTGCTCTCGGTAGTTTTTCACTCATTTCAAATACCTCGAACGTTAGGTTATAGTGGAGCGAGTAACTGGAAAGCTACTGCAATTTTGATAAAGATCTGGAAAATTAGAGGAAAAGAATCTCGGCTGACCTATGAGCAAATCCAAATTACGGCTATGGAGCTTTCATACACGTACAAACTATAAATATATTATTTATGAAGATATTATGTTTGCCTACTTTTCTCATAAATTATTTTACAATACTTTTTATATTAATATAATATATATTATTCAAATGTTCAACCATAAATGAAAATTGTATATGCACTGTATGCATTTTCTAAGCCAGCATTAATCTAAATTCAGTTTAACGTCTGTGCGTGTGCGTAGGCGGGTCAGGTGCGTGTGTATATTTAAAAGATTCATCATTTTATTCGATTTAATGAATTATATCACATTTAGGGAGTAGCGCGTTAATATATGCTTAGTGAACATAATATATAAATTTTATAAAATTTTAAATATTAATAAACAATGAATACGTAGTTATTATAAAAATTAAGTCAATTTTTTTTTTCGAATTCAAGAGTAGACAGTACAAAATAATCAAATACGAGTGCAATGCAAATACTTATTAACATTTCTCAGTATCTAACAAGTCTTTAATGTTTAATATTTCATAATCGCAAATACTTTTAGAAAATAAAAATAACAGTCGACAAAAACGATTCCAAATGCATAAGATGAATTTTATTTTTGTATTATTATGAAATAATAATGTAACGAAAGCACTTATTACATTCTAATTCCTGTTAGTATATATTATTCATATATTTTAGTTTAAGAAACGAGCTAATACGATAATAACAATTTATTTAGGCATATAGTAGTCGATAAAGTTATGTCATAATACTAATTAAGAAATAATATAATTTAATTAATTTCGAATTATGGTGTGTAAAGATTTGATCCATGAAATTCGATAATTCAGCTCTCAGGGTTTATCATCGGCGTTTTCATAAATTACTAGAAAAATGACTAAAATATATTTCCTTCAAACCCACGATATAATTTCCCAATAATTAATAGGATACATTTATTATTTTATTTTAACGATTAAGTAGAAAAATGTTTATTAAAATATATATTTTTTTTTGTTTTTTTTTTTTGATCATTTTCTAAAAGCAAACGATATTTTGCAGATTACAAAATAGTAATTTACTTTTTAAATGAATAAAAAGTGTATTTCCAATTTTTTGAATCGAACATTCGAACACGGAACAATATTAAATATAAAATTCTAACTAAAATTAATTAATTTTTTTTTTCAAACTATATAAAAAGAGATATAAGCAGTTTTTTCAGTATGAAAAATAAAATAGATTAAAATATTTATTATAAATTTAGTTATTTATAAAGCACCATACACCGCAATATAATTTATATTATTTAATTATTAAAAAGATAAAAAT